AAAAATAATTGTAATGTAGGTCATGATTTTATTTGTTTTTATTACTTTGTATTATGCTGTTTATAAGTAACTCGCCATTACTGCTTCTCCCGAGTGTCGATTATTAGTTCGAAGAACAATTCATTGAACAGAGATAATGGGAAAACATTTTCTGAGTGTTTGAGGCATGGGTAATTTAAATGCTAATTGATAGCACTTAATTGCTGTAATGACAGGGTATTTCCTGTGAACTTCAGACTGACCTCTAACATTGGAAATGACTTATCATGATTTTTCAATGATACACTGAGGTATATTGATAACCCTGCTGATAGCAACTTACAACTAGACTGGACATGCATTAAAGCTAATAGTAAACAAAAATAGAAGCCCCCTTGAGAAAATCAATTTCTATAATGTTTAAACCTAATTGTATCTCTGTTAAACTGAAGTGACAATGTGCAATGTTATTTTATTTAAAGCCATATTAAGTATTAATCATCAGTTCACTTAGTAATTCAATTAAGCCAACACATCATTCAGAAAGGTTTTATAACAAGCACAATCCATTTGTTGAACCACATGGTGACGTTTGGATCTTTTGTATTGTATTATCTATTACGTATTGTTTGGAATTATTATGCTTTATTTAATCTGTGCTGTTGGTGCAAGGATATTTGCTCCATAAACTTATTTCACTTGCAGTACTGATATTATCAAGCCACTTTATATGGATGTGGGGAGCATTGCTCAAAGAATTTTGTTTTATGTATTGAAATATCACAATGCTTTTTGAGCTACATCATAATTTAGATTTTAATCACTCTCACAATGCTTAACCATCTCCATTTTGTAAGATCAAGTCACACATAACAGTATTGCTGAGGCTCGCCAGGAGGAAGTGTGGGTTGTGAAAAAAGTTTTTTTGCACAGAGCTTAGTTAGTTTCAGCTCTGTTTTGCGTCTTTGTTTTTTAGGTGCAAGATTTGTAACAAGTGTATTTCACATCAGAAAGTGAGAGATGAGAACACTGAGAGACAATGTGGTCTTACTCAGTGCAATATTTCTGTATATATTCACACTGTACCTACAGCATAAACTGTACAGCACGCCCCCAACATCTGTATCTGAGCTGAAGCTGTACAAAACACACATCTGTATCTGAAAATTCTGATGGCAAACATTTTGATTTATATCTTTGAAACTTGGCCTTGTTGGACGTTTTTGAATCTTTATTGTTTTTGTATTTTGTAACAAGTGTATTTCAGATGAAAGTGTGTAAACACACTGCATTGTGTACACACTACACACAACGTAGTGTGTAATATATTTGCACCATGCCGTAACTTCAGGCGCATTAACTGTACAAGCACTCTCAACATCTGTAACTGAAACTTCTGATACAAACAAAAGGTTGTAAATAATATGATTATAAGGATGAGTGCCAAGTGCTACAGCAGACCGTTTTTATTTTTAATAAAGACTTTTAGATTTGACATTTTAAGTGGTGATAATTGGAAGATTACATAATTTCTCTTTTGGCACTTTACGAATTGTAATACAATATAACTATGATTGTACTTTCAGGCACTAAGTGCTGATTGGCTGTTTGCACAGAGGTGGAGATTGTCCAAGTGCATGACTCTGGTGCCAGTGCCACCTCTGCCTCCTCTTTAACTTGACAGCCCTAATGCAGAGTTAATCAACTCATCTTTAGCTTTGTTTTGGTCAAATGTAAATAGTCCCACATTCCCTGACCTTTTAGGATCAAAATAAAGTATTTATGAATAAAAAGAATAATCTTGCGACTAATCGATTTATCTAAAAAATAGTAAATTACAGCCCTTCTCTGCTTGTGTGTGATAACCAAACATTACTTGTTTCTTAATATTTTTGGAACAACATTATGTGTAATGCAGGGCTGGGCGATAAAACGATAACTATATATATTGCGATAGACATGTGTTCGATATCAATAGAAAAGAGGTTGATAGAATGTTCGATAGTTCAACTTCACTCCGTAAGAAAAAACAGGAAGAAAACACAGGAAGTAAAGCCGAGTCAGAAGCGCGGAGCATTCCGGTGGATGTAGGCAGAGGCTTCTCGACCTATCACAGCCAGGCAGGAACCGCAAAACAACAACTGCACCATGCGTAGTGTCCATGGATCTATAGATCGTTTTTCAATGCCATGTCAATGGTTATGCACGTCCGTGCGAGGAATAGCATGTGCGGCGCGGTAGAGGCAGTGGGTACAGAGACCCGATGCATTCGGCGAAAGCAAGAGATGAACTTTTTCTGGAGCCGTCACAGGGACACAAGACACTCGAAAACAGCCAAAACAGGAGCTAAACCAGGTTTAATCTAGGACTAAAAATGGGGGACACTGTGCTTGTGAACATATTCCTCTAGCCTCATTACCCCGTGACTATAAACAAGGGCTGCTAAGGTGTGTTAGCCGACACAACAAATGTATTTATTTAGGTAAAAAAAAAAAAAATCAAATATATATATATATATATATATAATCGTTATCGACTGATATGAATTACTTATATTGTGATGTCGTTTTCAGCCATATTGCCCAGCCCTAGTGTAATGAGTGATAATGTTTCATGGAAAGTGCAGAGTCTGGAAAGTGTTCATGTCACTGTTTGTCTGATTGGAGATGGTTAGAGGTTTCTATTTAGTAGGTTTCTGTGGTAAGGCAGTGGCTATAAGCCATATTTCCTGAATCACCTGTGTGGGGGCTCGCAAACCAGCATGACGTGAGTCACTGGTCATGACTGCTTTGTGTGTAGTGTGACCGCACAGCTCAAGGAATAATACGAGAGAATTGTCTAAAGGAAACCTGTCGATTGATCAAGCTATCTTTGCTTTGAACACAAATGTTTGTTTCTTCTGTGGAGCCTGCTCCATCGAGCAGTTATCTGTTGTGACGCATCAGTTTGGTTTCAGTGAGTTGGTATTCTCCATTGGAGGTCAGTTAATGTTGATGTTTCATGAAGGCTGGATTAACTCAGACAATGATGCATGGTTTATCAAATACTAAGGGCACACTAGGTTACGGATAAAAAAATAAAATAAAAACGATTAAAATAAATGGGCGTAAATACTTATTTGGGAAGCATAAATGGTGCTTTCCAATTTGAAAATGGCACATGAATGCCCCCTCACTTTGTAAGCTTAAATAAAAGAGTAGGTGCATCCATCTAGAATCATCTGTAATGTATATTACAGATGATTATATTACCAAATTGGTATTTGCTATTTTGAGATATTCAGACGATAATGAGTCACTCTAACTTAACATAGTGTTCAAGTCTGTAAAACTAGGAACCAGTAACTTAGAACATTTACAGGTATAATCTCTCAAAGAATGTATTGAGGTTTTATTTTCATTGGGCAATATAATAAAACTTTACAAACAACATGAATCACTGTATGTTGCAATATATATTGCCCACAAGTTTGATGCTTCTAGGAATAAATTAATCAAGCTTTTTCACCAATGATAGCCAAAGTATCTGAAACCATCTGATCCGTGTGGGGTGGAAAATGACTTATTTTATCAAAACCATCACATGTCCAATGGAAGAGGCCTTTGACCCCCAAGCACCTGAAGGCATCACTGCATGTAGTTGCCCATGTGGTGGAGGTGTGGTTCTGCAGCAGGCTCCGGTGTTTGAGCACCGGAGCCTGCTGCTGACTCACCGAGGCGGAGGAGGAGGTGGAAATGGAGGCGGCTGGACCGTAGAGACCGACTGACCCACTTTCCTCTCCTGCTGCAACTCCTGCAGTGTCTCAGTGACACACTGGTTTTCCTCTACAGCCTCAGCCTTTGTCCCAGTGAAGAGCTTTTCCAGGACTGTCTCCATCCACACATTAGAGTCTTCTCTGCTGTTGTCATTGCACACCGTCATCCAAATTTGTCTCAAATCACAGTTTAGTTTTGTTTTTGTCCTCATAGCTGTAATGGTTTTGTTTATTACATACTTGATGAATGTACTTGTATAGCAACCATAGTCAAGACCTTGGAGGATTAAAATTGTACACAATCCCAATTCAAAAGAAAAATAAGTAAGACCACTTAAAAAATGGCAAATCTTTGTCTGGTTAGAGCTTCAATATGCAACAAGAGCAAATGAGGCAATAACACAAAGAGCAAGCAATGTATTCAAAATAAAAAGTACCACAAAATCTGCCCAAACCTTTGAAAAAATAATGTTTTGGAACAACAACAAAATGGCACAATCACTAAGTCGGAGGATCCAAACTCTAAATGATGACGTTAATGTTGCCAACTGCCGCCCAATAACATCAGAGCATCTGAGGCTGAAGGGCTTCAAAAGCATAGAACTAGGGCTTTAAACAATTTATTGATGTTTTTCAACTAATCTAGAAATCAATTAATCATTTTTCCAGGTAGCCATGGCAGCAGTCTGAGACACCCATCCTTGAATATCACCGGTGGAATCCCAGGGCGTTCCAAGGCCAGGGTCTTTCCCGGAATATCAAAAACGATTGTTAATTACAGCCCTAAATAGAACTGCCTGTTTGGACTATGTAACAAAGCACCAAACATGGGATATTGAAATGTGGAAGGACGTTTTATTCAGTGGGCCCAATTTAAATATGTCCTTGTTGTAATTTCTATGAAAACCTCCAATGTTTTTGGTCTTTCTTTGCGTTTATTTAAAAATACATTTGTCCCTTTTTTAACAGTTAGTAACAATATAGTAATGAAATAAGTCATGTTGCGATATTGTGTCTTGTTAGATTATTCATGATTTCTTTGTTTTGTTTTGTGGAAAGTTGGTGTTGACGAGTTGTCTTGGGTTAATCAATTTATTTCAACAGAGAAAGATAATTACAGAAGAAGTGTGATCAACATTTCTACAAACTTCACTTACAACCATCACTGATTTCCTTTTCAATGTTGTGTTTCTCCTCAGAGTGACCAGTTGTGCCTGTAGAACAAACATCAGATCATAACCAGGAGAACTAAACTCCACCAACACGAATGAAACTAGGTCCGGCTGAATCCCACCACAACCAGACCAGTTCAACACGGAGCAGACCAGACTGATCCACCCAAATCTGTGGCCGTCCAGGAGCTCTGTTCCAGTTTCCAGTCCAGGTAATGACAATCATACATTTGGCTCTACTGGATGACTCTTGGTTGTGCCAATAGAGGTGTGTGTTACTTGGTCAAAGGCTAAACTGTGGGTTGGGTGCATCTTGAACTGAAGTGGGACGATCCCAGCCTGCAGAGGTCAAGTGTCAAACTGTCCCACAATGAATGAATTGAATTGAATCCAGCTAGACAATGTCATTTGAGCTGTTATCATTATCATACTCATTAATATATACTGCATTTGGTATATTTAGGGAAAAAAAGGGCTTCAAATCCACAGAATAATTACAAATCTTGGAGATTAAATCTTCCCGTTGGTGTTTTCTCATAGCTGAGGCCTCCAGAGTGGATGGAAGGAGATGATTTTAACACAGAAGCTGTGATGAATATCTGTGGTGAGTACTACTCCTGCTGCTCTTCTCTCTACTCAACATCAGAACTTCAGTCCCATATTATTTTTTGTACAGTAGTCCTGTACTAGGGCTACACCATATATCAGACCAAAAAAATGTGATTGTTGCAAGTGCAACCATCCATCCATTTTCTTCCGCTTTATCCGTTGCCGGGTCGCGGGGGCAGCAGTCTAAGCAGAGACGCCCAGACTTCCCTATCCACACACACCTCCTCCAGCTCGTCCGGGGGGACCCCAAGGCGTTCCCAGGCCAGCTGAGAGACATAGTCCCTCCAGCGTGTCCTGGGTCTTCCCCGGGGCCTCCTCCTGGTGGGACGTGCCCGGAACACCTCCCCAGGAAGGCGTCCAGGAGGCATCCTGAACAGATGCCCGAGCCACCTCAACTGGTTCCTCTCGACGTGGAGAAGCAGCGGCTCTACTCCGAGCTCCTCCCGTGTGACTGAGCTCCTCACCCTATCTCTAAGGGAGCGCCCAGCCACTCTGCGGAGGAAGCTCATTTCGACCGCTTGTATCCGCGATCTCGTTCTTTCGGTCATTACCCACAGCTCATGACCATAGGTGAGGGAGGGAACGAAGATTGACCGGTAAATCGAGAGCTTTGCCTTTCGGCTCAGCTCCCTCTTCACCACAACGGTCCGATACAGCGACCGCATCACTGTGCACGCTGCACCGATCCGCCTGTCAATCTCACGCTCCATCCTCCCCTCACTCGTGAACAAGACCCCGAGATACTTGAACTCCTCCACTTGAGGAAGGACCTCTCCACCCACCTGAAGAGGGCAAGGCACCTTTTTCCGGTCGAGCACCATGGCCTTGGATTTGGAGGTGCTGATTCTCATCCCAGCCGCTTCACACTCGGCTGCAAACCGTCCCAGTGCATGCTGCAGGTCCTGGTTCGTTGGAGCCAGCAGGACGACATCATCCGCAAAAAGTAGAGATGAAATCCTGTGGTTCCCAAACCGGACCCCCTCCAGCCCCTGGCTGCGCCTAGAGATTCTGTCCATAAATACAGTGAACAGAACCGGTGACAAAGGGCAGCCTTGGCGGAGGCCAACATGCACCGGGAACAGGTCTGACTTACTCCCGGCAATGCGAACACAGCTCTGGCTCCGGTCATACAGGGACCGAACAGCCCTCAGCAGAGGACCCCGGACCCCGTACTCCCGGAGGACCCCCCAAAGGACACCCCGGGGAACACGGTCGAACGCCTTCTCCAAATCCACAAAGCACATGTGGACAGGTTGGGCGAACTCCCATGAACCCTCGAGTATCCGATGGAGAGTATAGAGCTGGTCCAGTGTTCCGCGACCGGGACGAAAACCACTGTGCAACCATTCTACTGTAAATTCACCTGTTGAACAAGAAAAGCACTCGTAGAGTTATGGAGCAAGAAAAAGAACATTCTCTCCGAGGGCGTAGGTGAATAGACCTGCACCGTAAACAACAATGTCAGGTGAAATGGCCAAGATCAGCTATGGAAAACAGGAGTACTTACTCCAAGCTTATTTGTCTTCAATCATATCTTGAGGATTTCTTGGGAAAGAAAAGATTGCAATTTATGACCTACTGTTTTTGCCGTCTTTGACACCACTATAACACTTATTTCCAATATCGTTCAGCCCTATAGTCAACATGATGCCCTGACCGTGTTTCTGGATTCTCTACATAGACTCGCCACAACGACAAAGCATTTCCCTGTCCAACTAAACTCTGATGCCTTCATATGTTTGGAGCAGAATAAAGAGTTGGTTTTTATAGTGCTGTTGTTTTGTGCAGATGACCTGATGGCAGATCAGAGGATGGACATCTCGTCGACCATGTCAGACTTCATGTCCCCGGGCTCCACTGATCTCATCTCCAGCTCCATCAGCACGCCCGGCATGGACTACACCCGCAAGAGGAAGGGCAGCACCACAGACTACCAGTGAGTGGCGCTGTCCTCTCTCACGCCTTTGTCATGATCTAGAAAAGACATTGGCAAGAATAAAACCATATGAAGTAATGGTCTTACTTGCACATATTTATACCAAATAATAATTCAATTCAAATTTGAACAACTCTAAATGCCTAATTTGTAGAATGTTAACACTAGGGAACGTCCGATTTGGATTTGTTGGAACGGGTAATTTTTTTTCCATTCTCAATCGATTTTATTGGACAATTATTTTGCCCCCATGTCACCTACAGTATATTTCGCAGGCGCTTAAAAGTCAATGTATGGATTGTAAATGCATGAAAGTGAAGTTGCCTGCATGATTGGTTGAATTCTAGAGGTTCTAAGCTTTGGTATATGGCATGTGTTTATTGGCCGAGCTGAAGTTGGCTGGATGACCGTGTGATCTGTGTTTAAGATCTCTACTTTGGGCGAGAGTCAACGTCATCTTTTGCAGACTTGAAATAATCAATGTGTGGATTGTAAACGCAACAATCCTGAGTTGGTGGCTTCCAATTGTTTTCCCAAAAAATGTGAAAATGCGTTTATTTGAATCAGCAAAACCGTAAATGGGTCGTTCCCTTGTGCCATTCAGTGTCAGAATATAACACGCAAAACAAAACATTGATTCTATAAATTTGTGTTTCTTTGCAGAATTGATGGCTTCTCTTTTGAGTAAGTTCAAACATGACACAAAAATTTATCTCAAATTTTCTATCACGCAAATTCTTCTTCATCCTTTTTTCCTGTAATGATTTGTGACTTGAGTCTTGGCCCTTCTTTTCCCCCTGAACTCTGTGACTGTTCTGTGCTCTGCTTCTGCGTCTTGCCCTTTAACTTAATCTCATATGTGCTCTTTCATTAGTGACATGGACCCGGACAAGGACAAAATGGGCAGGTGAGTTCACATCATCACTAAGGAACGGCATCTATTTTATTATCTGGCAACGCATGTAATAGTTTTATTAGACCGTTTCATTTACAATTGATCACTGATTAGTAGTTGGAGATTGGACAAAATTGGAATGTCAAATGTACAAATTTACATCTTGCGGAAAAGAAATGACTGCGTTTTCTATAATCCAATCGGCACAAGATTGCAGATACAAGCCGTGTTTCCTCTGCAGAGCGGCTGGGGCACGTTCTACCAGAACTCGAGGAACCTTTTTTTTTCTTGTTTCTATTTTGGGAGCATATAATATGAACTACAGATTGGGGTCACACTTTCACACTTTCTTTGTAATTTTTGTAATAATAATAATAAAAACAATGATAAAACAAAAACATACACCAAAAAAATAAAACCGCAACACAAAAATTACATCAAACAAGCTTTCCCCTTCAACAACATTACTAACAAAAGTGTCAAAAACTAAAATTAAAGAACACTTTGGGAACTTTTTTTAGCTCCTCCTTTGTTGGTTCTTTTCAGTGATCACACCAGGAACCTTTTTGGAAATCAGTTTATTAAAAACTTTTCACTTGTTCACTAACATGCATCAATCCCAATTTCTAGCTTGAAAAATATGAGGTAAATTACAGTCAAATCAAAAGTACAAGATACAAGTGAAAACCTCGTCGGTGCTTAAGTGTTGTTGCCTTGGTGGTGGTGGCTCTTTCTCATGTTTTTATCTTGCGTAATTGTCTGGAACTACGTCATACAGCAGTGTACTGAACCACAGCTGCTTGACTCTACTGTTCCATTAACCCTCTAAGCTTTGATGCAGATGATTTAAGTAAAGTGAGGAAGGATTTAGATACACACCGGCATTCCAATTTTGCTCTGTTCAATTTATACTTCAAATATTTTAGCATTTATTTTAGCGCATTCCAAACTAATACGTCTGTATTTTCCTTTCTAGTGACCAACATGGCCGGATTAAAAATGCCAGGTACAAAGACGTCCTTTTTTTCTATTGAATCTGTACAGACAGCTGCATGATTAGTCTTTAGCAATAGAACCTTTGAATTCTGTTTGAACACATGAGCATTTGGGATCAGAGGCACAGATAATGAATCCTCTGAACACACTTATTCATTTGTAACAAATGACAGAAGGTTTTCACTCTTGATCAACCTCAAATATACTTTATCACTAATACTTTTCTTCTCTACTGTGTCTGTGCTTTGATTGATTGATCGATCAATTAATCTGTGCAATCACACCAATAAAAGTTTGTGAGAGAACCCCAGATAAATACATTAGTTTTATGTCAGCGTTGCCTTAAACAAATCTGTAATACAAATAGTGGCTTTGAGAGTACTTTCCTGTATTGATCAAATGTCTATTGTTCACCCCCAGGGAGGCTCACAGTCAGATTGAAAAGCGGCGTCGGGACAAAATGAACAGTTTCATCGATGAGCTGGCTTCACTGGTGCCCACCTGCAACGCTATGTCCCGCAAACTGGACAAACTCACCGTGCTGCGCATGGCCGTCCAGCACATGAAGACTCTCAGAGGTTCGCAGAACGTCACCAGCTTCATACAATTAATCTGATATTTTAAAATAAACATTGTCAACAAACTTCTGTAGCTCCTTGTTTCTGAGATCAAGCTATGATTGGATTGAATGATGATCATTCTACACATAAAATGAATAAGCCTATAGTAGCGTTGTGGAATCCTCCTCCAGCTTTCATTGGCTTATTTTGGAGCTATGCATTTTCAACACAGCCAAATATAGCACACTGATATTTTCCCTGAAGTTTAACTTAATAAATGTTCTGCATGTTCCACAGGTGCTGCTAACCCGTACACAGAAGCAAACTACAAGCCTTCATTTCTCACAGACGATGAGCTCAAGCACTTAATATTACGAGTAAGTATTTTGATTCATGCAGTCAAAGTATTCTGTCTACACATGTTCCATATTGTTCTATATTTCTTTGATCAAATCTAAAATCTGATTTTGTTACCTTTAGATTATTATTTCTTACACTTTGTTCTTTCCTGCAGGCGTCGGATGGGTTCCTCTTCGTGGTTGGCTGTGATCGTGGAAAAATTCTCTTTGTGTCTGAATCGGTCTACAAGATTTTAAACTATAGTCAGGTATGGAAAATATACTTTACGTTCACTCCAAAATCCACCTGGCAATTTTTTCGAAGTTATCATCTAAAAATGCACAAAAAAAGTTCCCCAGAGGGCATGAGAACCGTCCTGACAAACTTCAGTCTCTGGATGTTGTGGGACGATACTGACTGAAACATCTCCTACATCGTTTGGTGATTGGGGACAGTGTTCTTGGAGTGGCAGACCGGGGGTGGGGGTCCCTCTCTGGGACCTGAGGGTGTGTTCCAATTATCAAAGGATCTCACAATCCTCAGCCTCTTTAGTAAGATCTGCTCCTTGGTCCTGGAGAAAAACAGATCATATTTAAGTGTGCACTCTTATGTCTTTGCTCTTTAGAACTGGGTTAGAATGAAATGTGCATCAAATGGGGTGTCTGTGAAGTTGAATCTAAAGTCGTGAGTGTTCTTGTGTCCAGAATGACTTGATCGGTCAGAGCCTGTTCGACTACCTTCATCCCAAGGACATCGCAAAAGTCAAGGAGCAGTTGTCGTCCTCTGACACAGCGCCACGTGAGAGGCTCATTGATGCCAAGAGTGAGTCTAGACACACACACAAGCATGCCACATATACTTTTATGTGATGTGCCTGCCATTGTTGGTGTTAATTGAAATGTTTTGATTAGTCTTTTTTTATTTATTTATTACTTTTTGTAAATGAAAAAAATATATTACAATGTTGTGAAGCCTAGATCGAGGCTTCATCAGGCTGCGATTAACAGACCCTGCCATTTTAAAAAGATGAAATAATCACACACTCTTGTCTATTGACAGCTGGTCTTCCTGTTAAGACTGACATCACCCCCGGACCCTCTCGACTCTGCTCAGGTGCGAGACGGTCGTTTTTCTGCAGAATGAAGTGCAACAGGCCGTCCGTCAAAGTGGAGGATAAAGACTTCCCTTCGACCTGCTCCAAGAAGAAAGGTGCCTGACTCCACGTTGATTTACTTACATTAACTGCTAATTTACACAGGACGCGTTACAGCACGTACGTGTTATACGTGCAGCAGAGGTGCAAAACATTTTTACATGTTAACCAGTGGTGATATTTACACTACTAGTGTATTGACATGAGGCTTCTAATTTTGTGCGCGCAGCAACGCGCCTCCCTTTGAAAACACATGTGAAACATGATTTTTCTAGCGGCCCTTGGCTCTAGAATGCATCTGCACATACACAGCACTTGTGTCTAAACATTAGCAGAAGGAGCAGCAGATTTTACAGCAATTCTGGACATAGATTTTTTTTCTTTCATAAAGTCTGGCGTCTGGCCAAACCAGCGCACAGAGTCCATGAAGACAAACACATGCATGTCATTTGTGTTGCTCTACATCAGTCCTCTGGCCCGTACTGTCCTCTACACTTCTCCATAGACTACACAGGGAGAGCATCAGAAGCCGCGGACCTGCGCGCACAGCCTGTGTAGATACTATATAGACCCAAATAATGTTACGCGCACATGCGCGCTGCTAACGCCTACTGTGTAAATTCCCTGTTAGGCTAGTCCCTATTGTTTCTGTGATATATTGTCATGGTAGAGTCTGCACACCAGCCGTACTGTATCTGCCGCCGTGTTGAAGTCTCAGTCAAAGGGCTTTTCCAGAACTCCACATATTTTGAAGTCTGTTTGTTCTTTCTGAGCCGCTGGCGATGAAAGCTCTTGCTCCCTGGTGTTTACCTTTCTATTTTTAGAGCCACATCCTTATTAAACCAGGAATCACGGCTCACTACTCCCCGAAGCCCTTTCATTACACATCACAGGAAGTTGGCTCTTTTAGTCGCGTCTTACTTATATCATGTAATTATTAGTATGTGCTCCTCGTGAAACAGTAGCAGAGTGGTTAGCTGTTGTTTTAGAGCAGGGGGATTGGGGCGCACATGCAAAAACACTTGTCCAGCTCAGGTCTTGCCTCTCTCCCAGAGTCATTGTAGGATAAATTGAATGAGAATAGAGATTATAAATTCCTGCATTTCCAGGACAACATTAATCTGTCATCTTAATCTGTGTTCATATATGACTGTCATTAAACTAAGTAAGTAAGTAAGTAAGTAAGTAATCTTTATTTATATACCGCCTTTCACAGACCAGAGTCACAAAGCGGTTTACAATTGTTATTATTTTTGGGCATTTGTCCTCTCACTCCACACAGAGATGGGAGCAGGGTCGCCGAACAGGAGGCGCATGCCAGACCTATTGTGCATGTTTTTAGTGGTAGGGGAAACCGGAGTACCCGGAGGAAACCTACGCAAACACGGAGAGAACATGCAAACTCCACTCAGAAAGGCCCTGGTCCGGCCGGGATTCGAACCCAGGACCTTCTTGCTGAGAGGCGAGAGTGCTATCCACTCAGCCACCGTGCCGCCCAAACTGTGTATACCACAGCATTTATAGAAGGGCTGCCTTTAGTCTTAAGGATAGTTGGTCAAATATTTTTCAATTAGTGCCCACACCATAATCTAAAAAGCATTGGGAGGTTACTGCAAACATTTATTTAAATCCAACATTAGTTTGAAGCAACTTTAAAATGAGTTGAATTTGTAAAACGTATATAAAAGCAAAGACCGTCACCTTGAAGATTATTTTGGTCCATAACCGTTGACTGTAACACATCGTCTCCATGATCCTGTGTCTGAGTTTGTTGAGCACAAAGGTAAATCCTGGTGTTCATTGGTATAGCAGTATTTATTTTACTTCATATACAGTACATATATTTTATACATTACTACATTCAAACAAACTCAAATGATGGTCTTTTGACGGTACCTCTTTGGCTCTGTGCCCCGTGAAAGGCCCTGAGAGCAGGGGAAACATATGGCTGAATGTGGCTCTGCGCGATGAAGGGAACTGAGGTGTTCACTCAAAGGATTTCAGTTTCAAGACCAGTCAGTTTAATCTGCCTAAAACAAAACTCTTCATTCTGCTCTGACTTCTGAAGGTTTTGCAAAAGCTTTGTGAAAAGGAAGCATAGCACTTAACAGCAGTAGTAACTTGCATATAACTAATCAGCACTGAATGTTAATCCGTGGTTTTAGAAGGCATTTATCCCACACCAATACAAAACAATTGCACCAACCACCAAGAATCATCCACATAATTGTTGCCGTTATATAAGAGGTTACGACGTCCGGCTCACTGAACTGTAAGATTCTCTTTCCTCCACGCGGCAGGGTGCTGGGCTTCCAACGCCATGGCACCGTCTCTATATAACCCTCTTGTCTGTTTTGGTTGCAGCTGATCGGAAGAGCTTCTGCACCATCCACAGCACGGGCTACCTGAAAAGCTGGCCACCCACCAAAATGGGCCTCGATGAAGACAATGAGCCAGACAACGAGGGCTGCAATCTCAGCTGTTTAGTGGCCATTGGTCGGTTACACCCTCACATCGTCCCCCAGCCCAGCCTCGCAGACATCCGGGTCAAGCCCACAGAATACGTCTCCAGACACGCCATCGACGGAAAGTTTGTCTTCGTCGACCAGAGGTAATAATTTTTTTGTGCTGTACATTATTGAGCCTTTTACAGTCGGTTTTAGCTAGCAAGGACCACTACACAAATATCCATAGATAGCTTTTGAATGGATGGTTTATAGATTTCTAAATACAAATAGCCATGTTCAGTTCAGTTCATTTATTATTATTTGGGCAAAAGTACAAAACTTGTATTGTAACGTGAAAATGTAATGGGCGCGCAAGTTACCGTAACATATTTCAAAGTTAGTATTTAGTATTGCAAAATTAACAAAAACATTCAGTTTGGTCTCTGTCCAGGATAGACTGTGAATTGCATTTTTTCATCTCTCTGCTGAGATTGTTCCGTCTGTACACCCCCGCTGTAACTGCTGATCTTTGTAGACGTAGAGTGGGACGTGAGGTTGAGAAAGCGAAGTCGAACTGTGGGTGGCAGCAGTTGTGATAATGAAACATACTGTAGCAAATGGAGGTGTTTCAGTCAAAGTTTATAAAATTAACTCCAGGAATGACAAAATGGTTGCATCTTGTTTGTTCAGAGCAACAGCAATCCTCGCCTACCTGCCCCAAGAGCTGCTTGGGACGTCCTTCTACGAATATTTCCACCAGGACGACATTAGTCATCTGGCAGAGTGTCACAGACAAGGTATTGTTTACTGTCTTTGTCTTTAGCGATGTGTTTGATAAGCTAGATAAACATTACATTTATTTTGAATCTGTAAATAACTCCTTTGCTACAGTCCTGCAGATGAGGGAGAAAATCAACACTAATTGTTACAAGTTTAAAATAAAAGACGGCTCCTTCATCACGCTCCGTAGCCGCTGGTTTAGCTTCATGAATCCCTGGACGAAGGAGGTGGAGTACATCGTATCTACAAATACAGTTGTGTCGTGAGTACCCTGTCATTCCTCTGGATTATTAGGTGATGTTTTGGAAGAGCTCTGATATTAAAATTCAACTTAATGTCATGTCAATATAAAACCAAATAAATGGCCAAACGGTATAAAAGACAGGAGGACTGATTGTGAGTTGTGTTGCAGGTGTGCGATGATAGAAGGGTCGGATTACCCCCAGTCTGCGGCCTCCCCACAGAGTATGGACAGTGTTCTCACATCAGAGGGTGAGTTCCAGTCTTTTAAATGGATCAGTTTTGGATCAGCACTTGGATCAGTGTTAAAGTGATTTTTGTTCTTTTGAAGGCGGGGGACGGCGAGCCTTTCCAGTGCCTGGAATCCCAGGAGGGACGAGGGCAGGGGCTGGCAAGATCGGGCGCATGATCGCCGAAGAAGTCATGGAGATTCAGAGGTAATGTGGCTTTAGTTCAGTGTGACAAAAACTATGACAGAAATATTTGTTGTCATTTTTGGGGGGGGCAAATATGATTATAAAAACTGACTTAAATGATGAAAAAAGGAACAGAATACAAACAAATAAATTATTTTAGTCTCATCTGACTGAATGAGAAGCGGGACGAGAGCCCATCACTGGTCGCCTTGTTGTGCGGTGCAGGGATAAAAAATTGCTTAATATTCCTTCCTGTCGTTTGAACTTCATGGTTTTGTTTTTGAGCGTGTTGTGACTGTAGTTCCTGTGTGTTACTGCAGCGAACATCCTCCTCGTCCCGTTGTTGCCAACATCCTCAGAATGACACATGTTCCATTTGTCTTTTATTATGAGTCACTATTTCACATTTTGGGCTGAGAGAAACCGGTGTTTTGATATTGACCAGTGTGTTGCTTTGTATCACATGGACAAGGACTTGTATTTATTGTGAGAACCTTGTTTTCTAAGAACAAAAAATAGTTTACTAAAACTAGATTAAGGCTAAATCAAATTTGATGACTAAAACAAGACTAAAACTAAATGTACTTTGAATGCAAACATATAGGAGCCACTGTCCTTAGACCCTCCTGTATCGGCAATGAAAAACTTGCATGTTTTCTTGATTTGAAGTAATTGATATGAATGGATTCTGTTGCCGTCACCTTGAAGAGCTGTAAGTGTTGCACAGAATATGAACTGTATCTAATGGTTTGGATTGTGTTGTTCAGGATGCGAGGATCCTCTCCTTCCAGTTGCGGCTCTAGTCCTCTGAACATCACCAGCACCCCACCTCCAGACACCTGCTCACCTGGAGGAAAAAAGGTATGTCCTGGGGAATCCTGGGACAATATCCTTACTTACCTTATTTTCTGTTATAGCATAAACTAACTTATTATGTTTTATTTGCTGGACCAAAAGTTCTGCAACTACATTTTTCTAAATTTTTTTCTTGTCATTTTGTGGGTGGGAATTTGCATGTTCTCCCCATCCCTGTCTGGGGCATAAACTCTCCTGAAATAGAGACTCTGACATCTCAGCAGGACATCCCTGGTATAATAGAAGTCAATAAAAAAAAATATGTCACTTTCAGATTCAAAATGGAGGGACGCCTGAGCTGCCGATCATTCCTGGACCCGACTCTGTGGGCTACCCATACTCGAACCAATCCATTATGAGTAAGTACATGTTAATACAGCCCTTGTGCCTTTTAGTGTTAGAACAATTACATAATCTTCCAAATCCTTCTCCATAATTATGAATGTATTGAAAGTAAATACACATGGATGTTAATTTTGTTTCTTTTGTGTCTAGGTGACAACTCTCACCTCAGTATAGACATCATAGACGAGCCGGGATCCAGCAGTCCCAGTAACGACGAGGCGGCTATGGCTGTCATCATGTCCCTGTTGGAGGCAGACGCAGGGCTGGGTGGTCCCGTGGACTTCAGCGACCTGCCCTGGCCTTTGTAATGATCCACAAGGACTCCTGTTTGCCCTCGAGCCACTGCTTGAAAGGGCTTGACCATCCCCATAACTACACTGTAAAAAAACACAAGCCTTCTTGACGTTCTCTAGGTATAGACAGGGTGCAGAGCTGCCGCTGTTTGGATTCACTCCAGCTCATCATTCCAATTGACCGGAAGTCCCGCTTAAGGAAAAACGGATTATCCAGCGATGCAGCTTCAACATTAAACATCACTTTTAACTTTTGAAGCTGTGGTGAGACTGTTGCTTTACAGTGAAGCGGAGAAACTGAACACTGCCTTACAGTGACTCAGCAAACACTGGACTCCGGAGATATCCTGGGTGTTTTTACAGTGCAGTTACCTCATGTGGACAGTACCAGACATAAGCACAGCGCTCCTCTTTCAAAGCTTCACCTGGAAACGGTCCCTTTGTTCAAAACGGTCCCTTCACTCAGCCCCAAAAGCTGTTCACGACTGGGCTGCTCCGGTGCAGTGTATGGTAGAGGTCTTTTCAAGCTTGCTTCTCACCACATTGCTGGATAGTAACTGACATCACTTAATATTATATGTATTATTTTTGCATAATTTGTGTCAAATATATATTTCAAATTAATCCGGATAAAGTCCCTAGATGGTACTTACAATGATGTAATGGTCAAATCAGGTCTTTGTCAAGTACAATAAGAAACTGGCTGTGGTCTGTATCAGACTGTGAAGACCTCTGCTTGAGTCCAAATCTGAGATACAATGTGTGTGTGGTTCAAAAGGTTTGGATCAAGAAGAAAAGGTGTATTGTTCACTGCCATTAGCTGCACTCTGCTCTTCTCGTGCTCCGGGTCAACATCAGCAGAAAGCACTGACACATCCACACACACAACTCACGCTTCACGGATGAACATGGGAGATGCTCAAATACCTCTGAGCTTAGTGCTTGGTCAGACTAGTGGCCAAAAGGTGGCTACTTTAAAAGATTCAATGCAAATTCTGAAATGCAGTGGTTCCCAAACTGTTGTTGTACAGCTACACATGACACACATATGCAAAAGAGTTGCATATTGAGCTAAGGGTAGAATATTCGGGAAATTGCAATTCTGTTTGGCTGAAGAATTTAATGTTTGTATCCCAGGCCAGTGTAAATCACTTGCTGATGTTATTTTATTTTTATATGTACAATGTACAAACAATTACTTTTATTGCCAAGTTTGTCGAAGCAGGTGTCATTCGACTGATCATCAAAAGTACAGTTTGGGAACCACTGTAATCATTCACATGATTTCTACTACAGACCTCTGCTCTCCCACAGGCACCGTGTGTGGTTAGAGGAGGACCAGGTGTGGAAAAGAACAAGGCTTGTACATTTTAGAACAGGGTAAATTATTGTAATTTATCATTTTAAAATAAGATTAGATTTAAAACCCTCTTTGGCCGAGGTCGGCCCTAAACTGTTAAGTTCAGTTTAAACTGAACATTGACATCAGGAATAAAATGTCATTAAAAATGTGGTGCTTGTTTTTAAAGTGGGATTTAAATAAATCCAGTTTAATTTTGAATTAAACATTTTATTCTAACATTTTGCCTTCAATATTACATACCAACTCCATCAGGCTTTTATGATGGCGCTGATGTGTAAATGTGGATAATGAAAATAGCTTTGTAGACCCTGTGTGGGATCTTGCAGTACTACACCCTAAACTCTTCATATGTATCTAAATCATGGATCTAAAGTGTCCAGTCCTCCTCTAATCAGACGCAGCCCTCGTCCCGTTTTCTCTGGTCCAGTGGTTTTCTGTTCAATGTTTCTACACTACAACAGTGTCCCCGTGTTGCCAACCCTCCCCACTGACAATAATGTATCAGATCTTTAAATATTATCATGTAAGAGTATACTTTATGCAAATATATATGAGTATGATGAGTGTATCGTATGTATCAGCAGTGAAATATTTTTAAAATAAAATTGTTTCTGTCATCTTGAGTGCTTTGTTTATGACTCAGTGTGGCTTCAGCCAATCAGAGCGGCTCTGGTATTTTTATAACGTTGCCATCCAGAAGCCGGCAAATCTGGGATGGACACAAATGTAAGTCAAGAAAAAGATGTGCTTCAAATGTTTTTGCAAAATATAATTGTTAACTAGGTGGAAATGCACCTTTTGTAGTAAATTGTAATTTGTTAGTTTCATGAACTACACACTTTTTGCAAATAGCTTTTATTAAAAATGTCCTTTGATGGTGTTCCAGCATTTAGAAATGCACATAAAAACTGGAGTAATATTTGATCAAAACATACAGCCTATCATCCAATCTACAGCTGTTTGTGAACATTATTCTCATGATTTATATTGAACCATGTCCCAGTCAAAGGGCGGCGAAGGCAAAGTGGTGTTCTACCCCTCAAACGCAGGCAGGGGATTAAGGAAACACTCACTCCAACAGAAGAGAGTGACCCTGTGCTCTTTGGCAAATAACTTTCAGTCCATGTGTACATAATTATACAAAATATACTTTTAAGCAAAGGTGCTGTCACATCAACGATTGATTGTTACTTGTATTATAAATAATAAACATTAATACTGCTTTTCCATATGACAAAAAATATACGACATGAAATTATAGTCATAAAAACAAGTCCTTTGTAAAAAATCTGGCTATATTAAGACATTTAACTGCCTTCTTACAGATTTTATTTAACTTGTCATTGAGGTAGAAAAGCTTGTGGGATAATTGTCAGATGAAATAGTTCCAGCAACAGAAAAAGAAAACATAAAAGTGATGTGACTGAAGTGATACTTTATATATAAAGCGGATTGTAGCACCACCAAAGGTAACGATTCATGTAAACCATGAACAGCAGCAGGCTCAGAAGTGTTTATATGCCCACAAATATTGTAAGAGCACAGGGATCTGTCCAGAATCACCAGTAGGTACACATCGAATGTCTTGTTTGAATGTGTGCGTCTATGTGTGCGTCTGTGTGTGCGTCTGTGTGTGCATCTGTGTGTGCGTCTGTGCATCTATCTGTGTGTGCGTATGTCTGTAACAGTGGCAAGAGCAAAAACCTACACATGGTTCCTTTAAAATACAGTATATGGGGTTTTGGTAGGGACATTCATCTGTTTATTGCTAAAACTTGAAGTGCCGCACACGTTTAAGTGCATGTACTGATGAGCCCACTGTTTGTGGTGTGTTGAAGGTGCACTCATGCAGAGGGGGAGGGGGGGTCCGGCCCGGGCTCGTAGTGGTACGTGGCCTGAGAGTGGCTGCTGTGCTGGTTATGGGCCAGACTCGGTGCTGCTTGATACGGAACGTCCTGTTGGGGGTGAGGGGCGATGTGAGCTGGCTGTGGGGGGAGAGGCTCCAGGCCCACTGCGGGGGGCTGTGGCTCATGCCCCAGGGGCAGAGTGTCCAGCTCGTCTAGCACAGGTCCAGGCTGCATCACCACCAGCTGGTCCTGGGGGATGTCTGCGGCTGCAGCTGCCAGGTTGGTGGTGGACTTGGACTTGACACACTGAAAGTCCACATGGCGACTCTTGCCCTCCTCCTTTTCCCAGGACATCCGGATGAACGGACGCTGAACGTAGTTGTAGATGACCTCCGGACGCCCGCCAGGCCGCCTTTTTACCTTCTCTTTGTAGGTCGGGTAACCTGAGGAGGAAAACGATGCTGGAGTTAAGAATATGAATCAATCAAAAACAGGGTCTGAAAAGGACTAATGCGTACCTTCAATGCCCAGACGGATTTTCTTTAGTCCCCGGTCTTTCAGCACTGCTTTGGCCACGTCCCGGTTCTCAATGTACTTGAAGAATCGATATAACTTGGTGCTATATATGACTGAGGATCAAAGGCAGTGTTAGATGATGCAAAATGATAATTCTTGTATGAGTTGCAGTCTTACTTTGAGAGTACTCCTCTCCCATCTGTGGTGGATACTCTTCATCCCAGTCCACCACATCATCATCAGTGAGCACCACCACGTGGCACTCCCTCTCTCCGCTCTGTGCGCTGGCCACCATCAGCGGCAGCACCATCTCCTCCAAGTAACACTCAAACTGTCGCCGTGCACCGTCGTTAGACAGCTCGTGCATTAGGGCACCTGGAGACAGCACACAGGAAGTGTGGAAACATGCGGGTCAAACCGACAAAGCTTTGTTCATTATAAGATAAGATAGACTTTACTGATCTCACACAGGAGAAGAACAAATCCTATTTCTGGAGACAATAGGATTATTTCTAGTGTTTGATGCTGCACAGTTAGTCAGTGTGGATAGTGCAATAAAGAATTTTGGATTATTTGTAGGGCTGATTTGTGGGGCTGAGTTTAGTGGCCAGAATTTGCACAAATGGTGCACATGCAGTAGCCAAGGCCTACACCCTTCAGTGAGTCTTGTCTTTGACAGAACTGAAAGCAGCAATGAAAAACATCTCACACATAACTGCCTCATGCACATGACTTCCCAGTAAATAACATTGACAAAGCACAAGCAATGTGCCTACGTCAAAACACTGCTAATCCCAGCCTTGGCAATGTTTATATAACTACACAACAGGCGCTAAAACTCACATGTCATCATGACCTACTTAGGGACAGACACACCTCCCACACTTAACAAACACGCTTTACAATGAACAATGCAGTACACAGCGATGGTCGCAGGGATAGTACACTGACATAACAGAGAGAAACGGACTATGCATGCTGCGTGCAAACCAGAACAAAGCGACTTACCCACAACAAATAGAACCACCCAGTGTGGAGTTTAGCCAGGGGAGTAAAAAAAGAGAAGAGCTTCAAGACAAGAGCGTACTCACTTAGGTCTCTGCACTTGATGGTGTTGTAGTTGAAGGAGATACAGAGGTAGTCACATGCCTCTCGCAGCTCTGGAATGGAAACGCCGTCAGGGCAGCGGATAATCCCCGTCTTGTAGTAATCCTGCCATTTTGAGCGGCACGCACACAAACAGGTAGAGGGAGAGAGAGAATAACGACGCCATTACTGATGCTGCTGGGAGGGAAGAGGAGGATGACAGCAGGAGGGCGGGCCGTGTGTGAGGGATGCTCTGGGGGAGGGGGCCCACGTCACTTCCTGCTCAGTGCTCCACTTTCCACCATCGGACTGAAGCAGACCATTGTGCAGCTGAACGAGGCAGTGCTGAAGAAGTGCAGCCTCAGGATTTATAATCAGTGTTTAGAAAAGAACTGAATAGGATAAAGGTTATGAGTGGGTGGCAAATACTAACTGATTAGAACAATAATGTTATGATATGGACAATGTGAATCATCAAGCTGGGGTACGTCAGCGCAATAGAAAACGTTATAATTGGCATATTCTTAAATCACTATTTGACGCTTTGGGCTGAGAGCTGATTGGCCGATTCTCTTTTCTGTCTGAAAAAAGTTATCTATGTGACAGAGGCCAAAAATACACAAATACTTGAAAACGGTTTTGACATCAAAGAACTAGTGACACGGATAGTATCACATTGATAATTTTTTTGTGGTTTGAAAGTTATGTACCCCAGCTTAGCAATGGTGCATTCTGGGTCAGCAGATTCAGCCCACCGCTCCACTACATCTAGGTTTAGGAATCAGCAAGTCTATTTTCAGATCTTCAAAGCAACAAATCTTGTGAAAAACTGCAAGGTTGCGACGTTACCATTTTACTAGAATTCTGTTTATCTAGCGCAACATATTCAAGCTGGGGAATTTCAGATTTTTAATAATATATGTTGTTTGTCCCAACAGAAATACATTTATAAAAGCTAAAATGTTGTGAACTAATCAGACCACATAATGCTGCCTTCATCTAATCACAGAATATGTAATCTTTTGTTAATTGTAAGAAAGAGCCCTGTGAGTTATCGTTCCAGTTTTTATACTGAGATCTGATTGGCCGAGTGAGGGTGGTCTTCTGCGTTTCACTTTTCTGCCTGAAAAATCTGATCTAAAATATGTGCCGGCTCGAGATAGAACCAAAAGATTGAGTTACAAGAATTATATTACATAGCCCTGTGTTTTGTGATTGGAAAGTTAGGTACCCCGGCTTTAAAATGGCTACATTCAAACAATAAAGTTGTTATAGCACATTACAGAAACATATATGGAGGGCTGTTTCTCACCAGAATGGCCCTGAACACTGTGGAGCTGATCCCATCTGCCACTTCATATTCACCCTTGTCGTTTGGCCGAGTGAAGTTGTTGTCTCGCCCAGAGCCAAACATTCTGGAGGCAAGACATTTAGAGTTATAAAAAAAAAAATGTTTAATGTTCAAATCAATCTGTGTGCACAAGATCAAAACTATTTTTAAGTTGTTAAAAAATTTAGATGATTCTTTTCATTTGCCATTTGCAGTAAAACCACATTGGAATACAGAAGAGATTATGTTTTAAAATGGGAACTTGTTTTTACATTGTGTTTGTACGTCCACATAAATCCACATTTTATCTCATTATAGTCTGTGGAACATGCCTTGGGACTACGGCGGAAATTTAGCAGTTGTGATAAGTCCAGCGGATTGTGAATTGTCCCAACTCAATAATTAAATAAATGAAATTAAATGAATGTTCCTTTCTATTTTGTTTGTTTTTTGTTTTTCTCAGCATTTTCTCTGCATAATGTAACATATATACATACATATACATATACCGGTAGAACAGAATATATCAATATAATACTTTGAATTTAAGTTTTCTGTACTTCCTGTTGGATTTCCAAACTGTATAACATTTGAAAACCCAATAAACAGAATGTAAAAAGAAGAGATTATATTTGGGGTTTAAAATGAATGCAAGTCTCAGAAATATTCATAATGGACCCCAACGCCCTGAATAGATGCTCACCGTCCCAGCATGGTGTTGGGTTGGGCTGTGAAAATGGCCGGGTCCACCACAAACCGAGTGTTGTCCACGATGAGCGTGACCCTCTCTCCGAGCCGCAGCGCCCCCCTGTGGCTCTCTTTGCTGCCCAGGTCGTACACGCAGATCATGTCGTTGGGGATCTGGCCCATGAGTTTGGGGTGCAGGTCTGCGGAGCGAGGCACGTATCCCATGTGAGAGTAGGTGAGAGGGACTCTGGGCGGACGGGGACTGGACGAACGAGACGAGGAGCCGCCATCTCCGCGCTCGCGATCTGACACAAACAAAGTGTAAAGAAGACTTTCTATTATTCATCATTTTCATAATATTACTCACAGTGGTATAGAAAACATAACCAGTGTTTTCTCACGTATCAAAATCATGTTTCAAATGTTTGTATCATGACAATTACTATACATTTTCGTTTTTTTTATATAGACTTTGGCTGGAGTACCTACATTTTTTTTTCCCCTGCCTTAAAATTGTTGAACTTCAGTAGAGATGTTTGACTTTGGGAATTGTGTTGTTCAGGGTAGTTTTTAACTTGTATTGTAACCTGCTGCTGTGTGAACTCTGAGGCCTGACTTACTGTGTGTTTGTGTAGCGTGTGTGTGTTCTGCTTTGGGATTATGCTGTAGGTGAATTGCCTTTTGGAATCAATGAATTTTCTGAATCTGAATTTGAAAAAAACGCGTTAGTATATATATAAAACCAGCCCGGTCCAAGAACAAATGCTGCTAAGAAGTTGGAGTTTTGATGCTTGGCTCTCTGGACTGGACAGAAAAACCAGACAGGTCAAAATATGTTTTCCTTACACCTTCTCTAAAACCTCAAAAGGTTAATGAGAGGCAACAAAAGAACGCTTAGTTTACTTGTGGCCATATCTGCGTGTGAAACAAAAGCAGGGTAAGGCCTGGTGAGTACTGTGATAGTAGACCTCTGGGAACACACCGTACCGCAGTGGGGAGCTTGTAAAGTTGTCATGAGTCAAACTGTCATTTTATCTTTAAGCCAAGACACTTCACCCACATTGCAAAGTACGAGTCTGGTTCTCGTGTGTGCATGAAGGATTGGTGGTGGTCTCAAACTAGCAGCCTCCGTCAGTCTGCTCGAGGATAACTGTGGCTACAGAAATAGGTTACCACCACCCTGTTCGGAGTAAATTCCATCTGAAGCAAAATAAAATTGATGCATTATCATTATTAATTACCAGTAAAAAAAACTGCAGACTGCGGCAAAAATAGATAATGTGGAAACCTTCTGCACACCCGCACTCCAACAGGTCAGAGGTCAGTGTAACATGGTCGCTCAGTGATCATAGATAGGCAGTGTGCAGCAGATTAATCCACACACACACACAACTATTGTAATGCGGCGTCCTCATTGTGTGGTCCTCACCGTGCTGCCGTGTGGGCGAGGTGACGTTGCGGATGCAGGGGGTCAGCTGGTTCTCTCCTCTCTCGTGGGAGGAGTCTCGTGAACGGTCACACGAGCGACGCCGCTGCTCTCGGTAGTGCTCCACTCGGGCTCCTCCCCCTGTGGCCCCGCTCCCTGTGGCCCCGCCCCCTGTGCCCCCGCCCCCGGCTCCAAACACGCTCATGACCTGCTGCTGCCGCTCAATGTCCACGACGAGTCCACCCAGCGGCTCACTGTCGACACAAGAAGAACACAACTCGTCATCAGCCATCTTACACACATGCCCCTCTGCCCAGTTTAGAAAAGGACAGCGTACTGCAACATTTAGCTCAAAGACAGATATGTTCTGCACCCGATTATAGCTACACAGCTCATTTCCATCTGCAGTTGAATATACTTTTGTGGGGGTTTTGTCTGGCCACTTTACAATTTAGAAAAGATTTTGAAAAGATTTTGAAATGTCCCTGGCCACAGAGTTTAACTAGTTAAATTAAAATATGGCAATACAACCATAAATGTATTATTGCAGTGCTATCAAGATGCAAATACAGTCTGACAATAACTTTTTATATTCATGTTCAATCAGTACATAAGAGAGCACTGAACGTGCACCAATCCCCTCTGAACACACTGAGGAGAGGTCCAGTTCCATCAGAGAGCAACGCAAATGTTATTGTCTAATATTTCACCATTTGCAAAAAGTTTTGTAATATTTAAAAGATTTAACAATAAACAAGGTAAAAGCTTTTTTAGTCGTTTTTATGCAGTTTACTTGAACTTCAATAATTGCAGCCTTTGCGAGTTGCTAGCTGCCTAACTAAAATTGCGGGGGGAAAAAGATTGCGATTCATCTTGCGGACCAATTGCAAGACTATTTTAAACTTGCTTACAGGGCAAACCTGGATGGAAACGTGTAATTGCATTTCCGCTGGCACCTCATCAGACACACGCTACATTTACAAAGTCGGTCTGATTTATCCGTCTGCCTGTAAAGACGGCAGCACTGATCGATGCTGGTGTGGAGCTTATGAGGCAGAAACACATCTCTGTAATGATCCACGCTGCACTCTCCAGAGACCAGCTGCTCTGAAATATGATGAAGACGGTCTAACAAGGCCCGTCCGATAACAGCACTGCACCATGGGAGGGAGCAAATAAACACACCTTTACAATCTCTGAGGGACGCGCACTTATGAAAGAGCACACTCAGCAAACAAGCACTGTGGCTGGATTCCACCGCTAAAGTAAAGGGCAGTGTAGTGCAGTCATTTCATTTTCAATTTCTTTAATCGCCCATATAAGATTAAAACTTGTCCGCACTGCGCACACCTTTTACCTCCCGTTTTATATATTGGTACATTCAGGCAACTTTCCGGATGTTCTGGCTCTTCAGACGCCAAAGACTGATAGACGATAACTTTTTCGATTGATTGATTGGTTGTTTTAGAATGCACCTATAAGATTTCATCTCAGATTGACCTCAATAAAACTGAAGTGAAGCAAGCAGCGGACGTCCAACTAGATTATTCTCCAGAGCAATTTGTAATTCACACAATTCCTAATTTTGTTGGTTTAAAAACACACCTCTCTGTGAATACATGTGTTGTTGTGAAGTCCATATAGACTTCGGCTGGGGTACCTACATTTTTTCCCCTTTGCCCATTAAATATACTATCTCAATAAAGTCTTGTGGTCAGATTTGTTCACAGAATGTTACTACCACAACATGCTGTCTAAACATTTTTAGAAACATGATATTTTTTGCAAAGAGCCCTGTGAGTCACAACTTGACACTTTGGGCTGAGAGTGTGGGTGGTCCTCTCAAAAAGATGATGGAAATACATACATGTGAAAACAAAAGATAGAACCAAACTGCTTTGAGGGAGAAACTTGGTAGATTGGTTTTACTACATACTACACATTTTTTTGTGGCTTGAAAGTCAGGTACCTGAGCTTTAATTAAAACGTTTATTATTGAAAAAAAACCTGAGTAAGCGTTACAGCGAGCACCTCCTTTACCATCAACAGAATTACTCAACCCAGCTGCAGGTGCTCTAGTCTAGTATCCCGCTAGACGCCATTGGAACTGGTTCATTGAGTTCGTTCCATAAATAAGTAATGGCGACATTATTTCATTTTCTTGTCGCAGAGATAAAAGTTGTTATCTTGAATCCCATTTGTCGCTCAATGTCTTCTTTCCCTAGTATCTTTCCATCACGAAATAAAATGTCTGGAGTGGCTGTCTCTGAGCGGAGCAGCACACGGAGCCAGTGTCCTTGAAGAAAAGGGTCACAACAGCAAGTACCGGGGATTCAGAAGGATACCGGCGCTCAAACCACAATCAATCAATTCATATCTATTTGGTCTTTACAGTTTAAGAGAATAAGATACAAGGTTATAAACACGATTGTCTGATAAACATGTCTTGTGTTGGAGAGGAAACGTTAAAAACTAAATCAAAATAATAAAACATAATCTGTGCATGGGCCAGTAGCCAAAAATCGAACCGGCAGCGGAGACAGGGGGAACAAAGAGAATGAGACGGCAATATCTCACTTAAACTATCAGCATCTCATCTTTCGAAAAAGCAAACCTCTCGCCTGTATCTCGCTCATATCCATCTACAGTTACATCTCTGGACAACACTGTGAGCAAATGTCTGTATCACTCCTTCTCACCGGCCTTAAGCCTAAAACTGTCTCATCAAGTGAACAAATACCAATTTAATGGAACTGAGGATCTATTAAAAGCATAAGGTGACGAAGTGGGGTGAGGGTCCCATGTATTATTCAAGGTCTGCTCACATTGAACAACTGAAGGGCAGAAATGGCCGCATCTAGAGACAGAATGTGAATAAGTACATTAATAAAAAAAAGAAAAGAAGAGTTCCACATTTTTGGAAAGATCCGAGTCGTTCAGGGGTTCAATTACAGCCACACGTTTGCCACATTTTCAAATGTAAATATGACATAAATATAAAATGACAAAAATAAAACCCAACTTAGATAAATAATTCTTATTTGGCTATAAACGGATATTTAAACCAAAAAATAAGCTTCACGTGCCAATGAGATTTTAATAGCCTCTTCTTCTGTCTACAGAGTTTGGAAGAATTGGCTTTAATCTATTCTCTTTTTGTGACTGATGTCTTATAAATCAAGACGATGGCCTTATAGCGCACTGCTGGGGCTTTGTAATAATAAAAGTGAGGGTCCCCAGAGGCGGCCCTGCCTGTACCTACCGCTCCGTATCAGACTCAGAGGGCCAAGAGAAGACAAAGCACCACGGCACAACAGCGGAACAAAAGCCTCCTCCGAACAACACGGGCTCTCCGGCAGCTTCAGCATCGTCGCTCATTACTTTGACTCTTAATCCGCATCGTTTCCAGCTCTCGGGGGGGCCGGCGTGCGGGTCGCTGGAGGAGAGGACCGGTTCGTCTAAAGATCGTGGAGGCTGTGTGGATGCTGATGCGGCTGCTGCTGCTGGTGATGGTGGTGGTAAATGGGATCGAGTCATTCAGACACGAGCTTGTGAATGGCAGCGTGAGACTGAATCAGAGCGCTACTGCTGCTGCTGCCTTCACGTGCAGTGGGAATGCGCAGAATTTTTTTTTTTTTTCCCCCCACACGCATTATTTTAATAACGTATTCATCTAACAATATTTATTTTGAAGCAAACATGTTTTGTTTTTTTGTTTCTCTCACCATTCTATATAAAAAAAATAAACAGAAAATCTCTTGTAAGCACGTATTTTTTCAATCTTTGTTTTACTATGGACATTTTCTGATTCCACGTATTTTTGTATTCTTTGTTTTGCTTTGGGCACTTAATTATTCGCAGGGTGGGGGTGCCTGCACAGCAAACTTGATACACAATATCTGGTACTGATATATGTACTATGTAACAGAATACATTTAAAACATTAAAAAATAAACTAAATAAAGAGAGTGGGAAAGGAAGGATCCTATAAAAATACCGACAATAAGTAATCTGCATTAGAAGCCCATTTAATCCAATACATGTGAATAATTTGATGACTGAATATTATTGTGTGGTGATAAACCATGTCCAACAACTCCCTCTCTAAATCCAGGTGTTATTCTAACTAGATATGTGGATTAATATGATCACTTGCATGGATGGCAGAAACAATTATCCATTATCCACAATGCATCATTAATAACTTGTACTTTAATAAAAAGCCAGCAGAGGGCACTATATGACATTGCAAAGTAACTCTGGGCTCTCCACGCTTTACTTGGCGAGAGGATCAGAGACAAATACAGTAAAAGTACTACTTTACAAACATACTTTACAAACTGGGCATCCAAGGCAAGGAAACAAAGCATTGGAGCGTTGTCACTGACTGGTTATAATGATGCACCAATTACGAAGCTCTCAGCTGAAGAACAATTAAGGTTTTTTGCTGGTAATTAATATATATCCATTTATTTAGCATGGTGACAATCTATAAGTTTATCCAATATGACTTTCTGAACTCGGAATTGTTTTAGGTTTTTCTACTGGGTCAAAGCAGACTTAAAAGCAGCTTGCCATGTCACATAATACACAGAGAATGGGATTAGTCAGGACAACATCTGTCTCTGCAGCACGCTCAAGTTTATAAAGAAAAGTCAACAAGCATGATTTGTTTTTGCAGATGGGCGGTGAAAATAGAAATATCCACCTGTACAATGTCATATGTTTGTAGCTATATCTTGATCATACTTACACTCAATAAATAAATAAATATACAATGTTAACTGTAAATAAGTGCCATGTAACTAGGTCTGTGAGAATAGAGATTAATGAGTAAATCTCGGTTGTTTGTTTAAATTCCCTCGTTCAGAAGTGATGCCGCAGATATGGCTAGCTTACCATGCTAACAAACTCCTGTGTGTGTTATTATAATAGATCCATGGTGTTAGTTAGCAAGAGCATTGACACATAGAAAGGGTTGGCCAACTGCTACATCTTCAAATGTTAGAGATTCTTTTTAGCAAGGACGTTTGTGCGTGATCAAACAAACATGTAAAGATGGGTTGTTGAGAATAAACCCCCTGGTGGCTTGGCTAACAGTGGTGTAGCAGCGGCTAGCCAAGTGCATGTTAAAACTTCTTACCTCTCAGTGGTACATCCCCTGGTGCTCATTCCGGTGGTGCTGTGCTGACGGGACCGGGAGCTCCACAAAATGAGACGTAAAATGTAAAACGTTTGCTGTAGATGTAGTTAACAATAAAATTCCATCGATGTGTTTTGGTTAGATTTGTAAAAAGCTCACAGACATTCAAATTCACGCAAACTCTCGCGAGAATCAGGCAACTTTGCGTGAGTACAGTCTGCCTCAACTATAATAGAATATTCAGTCTAGGATCGTCACATGTTACAGACTTGCTCTTTCGCGGTTTACTTCTGTTTCTGGGACAGCCATCATCTCGACTACTATTTTGATTTTGGGCAATTCGAAAATAAATCTAAATGTGAAGGCCCAACGTGGCCGAAACGAGTGCGCATCCCTCTACAAAGTGATAAATGTCAAGAGTGCCCCGGATTTTTCTTTTTCTCAGACCTAAAAGTGAGTTGGGATAATTTAGTTTCATTGATTCATTCAGACACATTACTTGGGTAACTTTTTTTTTTATTAAATAATGTTTTTTTCAGAATGCAGCAACATTTCAGGAGCACATTTTAGATCAACTCCCAGGGAATACAGCCTATTTTTTTAATGTGATAGCGATGATAGTAAAAAAAAAAAAAATTGCTTCTCTCCTCGACAGCTTTGATGAAAGAGTGTTTCTTGCACCGTCCCATCAGAAATAATTTAATTTTCTCATTCTTATGCATGTCCTTATAATACGCCCTTATGTGTTTTCCTCTAATTAGAAAAATACTGTCATGTCATATCATGTCACCATCAGTTAAAAAATAACTTAAAATTAATAATAATACATTTTGTTCATAGTTACTCTTGAGTAGCAGTCTACTTGGTTTGTTTTTTTCCACTCTAACCTACCCAGTAATCTTCCAAAATATTATCCTCTATAATAGCCTCTACAACAGCAGTTTTTTTATAACATTTATGTTTAAATTTCAAAGTAAAAAAAAAATGCTTGTATTACTTATATAAAAAAGCTAAATGTTATCAAATTGGTCCACTTTAGCTAAAAAATAAATGTACAATGCCAAATAAAAAATATAAATAAAAGAAAAGTGCAATCTTCATCATTCTTTCAGAAATGAAAAATGGCAAAATCGTCAAAATAAATAATCAATAATTAAATAACTAAAATATACAAATATTGTATACAAAATAATACTGGCACAGTGGAAATGTTTTTAACAATTCTGAACATGAATCATTGTTTTTTAGAGTTCATGATCTCCAGATAGTCCATTGCAAACTGCATATCTTCAGGCGTGTCAGGGAGCAGTTTCTTCTTCCTTAGTCTGCTTTCTTCCCCTTTACTCCAGGACGACTCCGCTCTGGACCAGCTTTGCCCCAAATGAATCCCCCGCAGCCTCATCTGCAACCAGTCCCTCCGCTCCTTCTGTAACTTGTGCTCGCCTCGATTATGCATGAGCTGGACCTCACTCACTGTTCTTTTGCTGCACACACAAAGCAGAGAATATTATGAAACAGATTCAACACAGACAAGTAGTAGACAAGCATTACATAGAACTACCATATTGTTTATCATTACTTCTATATTTATCTATATCTATATGTATTTAGATATAGTTGTTTTTACTAAGCTTAAAGCTGAGGTACAGTATCTAACTTTGAAACCAAAAGAAGGGGACTATGTAATAAAGTCCATGTCAAGTTTCTTGCTCGCAAAACAGTTGGGTTTTGTGTGAATGTATTTTTGGCCTCAGTCACATCTGCTTTTTAACAGAAAAGTTAAAACGTCTTTAATAAGATAAATACGTTGTTGCATGTTGTCATATGATTTGTTCATTATCGTTTTCTATTTGAAGACCATTTCTGTCGGTCTTGAGTTCACATTGAGTACATGAAACAAACACGTTAGGTAAGTTATGTACATACCTTAGAGGGTGCCCTTCACAAACTGTTGATAAGATTATGAGGCTTAGTGGTATCAGCAGCATTTTGCAGTCCATACGTGCTGTCATTTTCATTATTCCGGGATCTGTAGCAATAAAAAAAAAAAAAACATTTACCCCAACATTCAACATCCTCATATGTAAATGAATACACCTTTATTGACCCATCCATATAATCCCATAAAGAGTACCTCTGTTTTGACCTACCTGGTTCCGTTGTAAGACAGTCTGGAGATAGGTCTTTAGCAGGTTGGTCCTATACTTAAACTCCGGAGGCCCCTAGTGCCCCTTATATAGCCCCCAGCCCAGCCATTGATGAGCAGGCTTCATTATTACTGATGATGTCACAGCAGCAGGCAGCTCCTCTTTGGGCAGGACAGAAATGACAGCACCTCCTCTGCGCTGGCCTTTCATCAGCCTCATACCAGACCAAACTCGTGTTCCAATGTCGTGAACCCACATTACCTCACACATGCATTTGCCACTTAAAGCCCGGGTTCCTAACGTCGTTTTCATAAACATTACATTCTGTTTGTAGTTTTGAGAAAGTAAAATGTTATGACCAGTCTTCATCTTGTCATAAAACAGGTGTTCTTTTACATACTTGTAAGACAGTCCCAGTGAGTGATATCTAATGACAGAACCAAAGTGTCTTGAGAGCCAGAAACATGTTAGATTGATTATATGAGATTGTTCCATTTTTGTTGTTTGAAGGTTTGGTACCCCAGCTTTAACCAGAAAAAAGCTGAGAAAATGTTGCACTTTCTCAGCTTTTTCAGAATTCCCCAAACAGATTCATGACCTACCGATTCGGTCTACGTACGATGTGACCTTTTTGTCTGCTGCATGACAATGGCAGTAACGATTGGCTTACGCCTTACATTGGCCATTTAGGTAGTTTCCCTGGCTACGTAGGCATTTCACTCAAGAATTAACATAGTTTTAATGAGGAGGACACTTTAAAAGAGCTTTTATGCTGTCCTGACGTCAGGGAAATGTTTTCGACAAAAGTCAATTAGTATTGTGCTGATTGTTGTCGACATAAATGCCAAAGTTAAAGGGCTGTAGTCTTTCAAATCAGTGCAATCTCATATTATTTCGGAGTCATACCTTCTGTTTGTGAGTGTGTTGTGAGTATGTGTCAATGAAGCTTCCAAACTGTAAGTAAAAGTGACTGAACCTAATGTCAATGTCTAGGTTTGGTTTATTGTTATGCAAATGTGTTAACATGTATGAAGATTGACCAATGGCTCCTATGTGTTTGTTTTTATTGCATATCCTGTGATAGAACCGTTTGATTCTCTGATCTGTTGTTGGCGAATCCACAACTTAGTAAAGGCCTTTGTCTGCTCAGTTTAAAAAAAAAAAAAAAAAATATATATATATATATATATATATATGTAAAAAGATATATATATGTAAAGAAATTAATTATTTTCATTGTGTACTTG